TGTTTGAAATAAATGTTGTATAAATCTAAGATTTGTTTTTGTAAAGGCAATTTCTAACTAACTAACTAACTACTAACTAACTACTAACTAACTACTAACTAACTACTAACTAACTAACTAACTAACTAACTAACTAACTAACTAACTAACTAACTACTAACTAACTAACTAACTAACTAACTAACTAACTAACTACTAACTAACTAACTAACTAACTAACTAACTAACTAACTAACTAACTAACTAACTAACTAACTAACTACTTAACTAACTAACTAACTAACTAACTAACTACTAACTAACTACTAACTAACTAACTACTAACTAACTAACTAACTAACTAACCTAACTAACTAACTACTACTAACTAACTAACTAACTAACTACTAACTAACTAACTAACTAACTAACTAACTAACTAACTAACTAACTACTACTAACTACTAACTAACTAACTAACTACTAACTAACTAACTAACTAACTAACTAACTAACTACTAACTAACTAACTAACTAACTAACTAACTAACTAACTAACTACTAACTAACTAACTAACTAACTACTAACTAACTAACTACTAACTAACTAACTAACTAACTACTAACTAACTAACTAACTAACTAACTAACTACTAACTAACTAACTAACTAACTAACTACTAACTAACTAACTACTAACTAACTAACTACTAACTAACTAACTAACTAACTAACTAACTACTAACTACTAACTAACTAACTAACTACTAACTAACTAACTAACTACTAACTAACTAACTAACTACTAACTAACTAACTAACTAACTAACTACTAACTAACTACTAACTAACTCTAACTAACTAACTACTAACTAACTACTAACTAACTAACTAACTAACTAACTAACTAACTAACTAACTAACTAACTACTAACTAACTAACTAACTAACTAACTAACTAACTAACTACTAACTAACTAACTAACTAACTAACTACTAACTAACTAACTAACTAACTACTAACTAACTAACTAACTACTAACTAACTAACTACTAACTAACTAACTAACTAACTAACTAACTAACTAACTAACTAACTAACTAACTACTAACTAACTACTACTAACTAACTAACTAACTAACTAACTAACTAACTAACTACTAACTAACTAACTACTAACTAACTAACTAACTAACTAACTAACTAACTACTAACTAACTAACTAACTAACTAACTAACTAACTAACTAACTAACTAACTAACTAACTAACTAACTAACTAACTACTAACTAACTAACTAACTAACTAACTAACTAACTAACTAACTAACTAACTACTCTAACTAACTACTAACTAACTAACTAACTAACTAACTAACTAACTAACTACTAACTAACTAACTAACTAACTACTAACTAACTAACTAACTAACTAACTAACTAACTAACTACTACTAACTAACTAACTACTAACTAACTAACTAACTAACTAACTAACTAACTAACTACTAACTAACTAACTAACTAACTAACTAACTAACTAACTACTAACTAACTAACTAACTAACTAACTACTAACTAACTAACTAACTAACTAACTTAACTACTAACTAACTAACTAACTAACTAACTAACTAACTAACTAACTAACTAACTAACTAACTAACTACTAACTAACTAACTAACTAACTAACTAACTACTACTAACTACTAACTAACAACAAACAACAAACAACTAACTAACTAACTAACTAACTGACTAACTAACTAACTACTAACTACTAACTACTAACTAACTTACTAACTAACTTACTAACTGACTAACTAACTAACTATTTTATAATTTGTTTTAAATAATTTTTAAGTTTTTTCCCTGTTTCTTTATATATTTTTTTACACATTTTATTTTAACAAAATTTAACTAACTCTTAACATTGTAAATCTTTTTTAATAAAAGAGAATTAAATATTATTTATACTAACTTTAGAGTTTTTAAATTTTTAACTATAGTAAAGTCCTCTATAATTTAATTTTTTGTTCCCTAAGACAAGATCAGGTGGACGAATGTAAATCATAATGATAATTTTTTTACCAACCGATAACTCTTAAAGAAGAAATTGGATTCGGATGACCTTATTCCTATTTGGTATAGGCGAAAATAACACAATTGTTTCGTTATCATTACATAATTCCTACAATTCTATAGAACTAATTAATTAAATTTATAATTACAAAAGTTAAAACTTAAAAAACAAATAAACTTAAAAACCCTAAACATATATTCCTGATAATAAAATATAAAAATATACAAAGGCAACCCAGGCTTTTATGTCAATAATAAAATGTCAAAAATTTTCATAAATAAACAACTGAGAAAAATAAAAACGTATAATCCCAAAGAAAAAATATTTTGAAATAAAAATAAAACTTTAGCGAATAAAATCAATTTAAAAGAAGATTTAAACAAGCAATCGTAAGAGGCAATAAAATATTACTAATGTGTATAAAATTAATTTGAAATTTGATATAATTTCAGCAAAAAACCAAAATAAAAAAGGAATTGAAAGAATTTCAAAATATAATAAGATATTTTCAAATAAAATAACGTAAAATCGAGAATTTAAACGGAAAGATGTAAGAATGCAATAAAATATTATTAAAATACATATAATTAATTTGCAAATATTCTGAAATTTTAGCGAAAACACAAAGTAAAGCTGAAAATGGAAGGAAATAAAATACAAGAAAATTCTAAGGAAGAAGTCGGCAATTTCGAAAATCAAAAAGACAATGTAAAGTCCAACTGCAATGAAGTCGCCAAATAAAGCTGCTAATGCTAACATGGTTGTTTTAATGGCGTTGCTATTTGGACGAATAATGTCAAAAACGCTCTGTGTTCTTGAACTATTTCTAGGTTGGTTGCTATTGAAAATTTTGGAACAAAGGAACAACAAAATGGGCCACAATAGGATTTGGAAATTCCTTTTTATTGAGGACGATCAAAATCTTTTAGCTGTTCGCTCCAAGTTATATACAATATCCGTAGTAATGGGGTATAATATGTTCTATGCGGCAATTTATGTCATGTGGATAATGTTACGTATACTATTGTCTACAGCACCGGGAAGATTAGACAACTACATTCGTTTTTAAATATTAAATAATTGTTTATACTTCTTCTGTTCTTGTGTTAAACTGTTTATTTCAAAATTAATGTTGATATTCATCTCCATTCTTTAAAACAAAAAGTTTTAAATAGAATTTTGTTGTGTTTTTCATAAATGATAAAATTTAAATGAAAAATGGAGATAATTCTATTCAAAATCTTTTTGTTTTATGGAACGGAGAGGAATAAAGGTTTCTTGTTATTTGTTTGTTATTTTTTAATTTGTTTGAAATAAATGTTGTATAAAATGTAAGATTTGTTTTTGTAAAGGCAATTTCTAACTAACTAACTAACTACTAACTACTACTAACTAACTAACTAACCTACTAACTAACTAACTAACTAACTAACTAACTACTAACTAACTAACTAACTAACTAACTAACTAACTACACTAACTAACTAACTAACTAACTACTAACTAACTAACTAACTAACTAACTAACTAACTACTAACTAACTAACTAACTAACTAACTAACTAACTACTAACTAACTAACTACTAACTAACTAACTAACTAACTAACTAACTACTAACTAACTAACTAACTACTAACTAACTAACTACTAACTAACTAACTAACTAACTACTAACTAACTAACTAACTACTAACTAACTAACTAACTAACTAACTACTAACTAACTAACTAACTAACTAACTACTAACTAACTAACTAACTAACTAACTAACTAACTAACTAACTAACTAACTACTAACTAACTAACTAACTAACTAACTACTAACTAACTACTACTAACTACTAACTAAACTAACTAACTAACTATAACTAAACTAACTAACTACTACTAACTAACTACTAACTAACTACTAACTAACTAACTAACTAACTAACTAACTAACTAAACTAACTAACTAACTAACTAACTAACTAACACTAACTAACTAACTAACTAACTAACTAACTAACTAACTAACTAACTAACAAAACAAAGAAACAACAAACAAACAAACAACAAACTAACTAACTAACTAACTAACTAACTAACTAACTGACTAACTAACTAACTAACTAACTAACTAACTAACTACTAACTAACTTACTAACTTACTAACTAACTAACTAACTAACAAACAACAAACTAACTAACTAACTAACTAACTAACTAACTGACTAACTAACTAACTAACTAACTAACTAACTAACTAACTAACTAACTAACTTACTAACTTACTAACTAACTAACTAACTACTAACTAACTACTAACTACTAACTTACTAACTAACTTACTAACTGACTACTAACTAACTATTTTATAATTTGTTTTAAATAATTTTTAAGTTTTTTTCCCTGTTTCTTTATATATTTTTTACACATTTTATTTTAACAAAATTTAACTAACTCTTAACATTGTAAATCTTTTTTAATAAAAGAGAATTAAATATTATTTATACTAACTTTAGAGTTTTTAAAATTTTTAACTATAGTAAAGTCCTCTATAATTTAATTTTCTGTTCCCTAAGACAAGATCAGGTGGACGAATGTAAATCATAATGATAATTTTTTTACCAACCGATAGCTCTTAAAGAAGAAAATTGGATTCGGATGACCTTATTCCTATTTGGTATAGGCGAAAATAACACAATTGTTTCGTTATCATTACATAATTCCTACAATTCTATAGAACTAATTAATTAAATTTATAATTACAAAAGTTAAAACTTAAAAAAACAAATAAACTTAAAAAACCCTAAACATATATTCCTGATAATAAAATATAAAAAATATACAAAGGCAACCCAGGCTTTTTATGTCAATAATAAAATGTCAAAAATTTTCATAAATAAACAAACTGAGAAAAAATAAAAACGTATAATCCCAAAGAAAAAAAATATTTTGAAATAAAAATAAACTTTAGCGAATAAAATCAATTTAAAAGAAGATTTAAACAAGCAATCGTAAGAGGCAATAAAATATTACTAATGTGTATAAAATTAATTTGAAATTTGATATAATTTCAGCAAAAAACCAAAATAAAAAGGAATTGAAAGAATTTCAAATATAAATAAGATATTTTCAAATAAAATAACGTAAAATCGAGAATTTAAACGGAAAGATGTAAGAGTGCAATAAAATATTATTAAAATACATATAATTAATTTGCAATATTCTGAAATTTTAGCGAAAACACAAAGTAAAGCTGAAAATGGAAGGAAATAAAATACAAGAAAATTCTAAGGAAGAAGTCGGCAATTTCGAAAATCAAAAAGACAATGTAAGTCCAACTGCAATGAAGTCGCCAAATAAAGCTGCTAATGCTAACATGGTTGTTTTAAAATGGCGTTGCTATTTGGACGAATAATGTCAAAAACGCTCTGTGTTCTTGAACTATTTCTAGGTTGGTTGCTATTGAAAATTTTGGAACAAAGGAACAACAAAATGGGCCACAATAGGATTTGGAAATTCCTTTTTATTGAGGACGATCAAAATCTTTTAGCTGTTCGCTCCAAGTTATATGCAATATCCGTAGTAATGGGGTATAATATGTTCTAATGCGGCAATTTATGTCATGTGGATAATGTTACGTATACTATTGTCTACAGCACCGGGAAGATTAGACAACTACATTCGTTTTAAATATTAAATAATTGTTTATACTTCTTCTGTTCTTGTGTTAAACTGTTTATTTCAAAATTAATGTTGATATTCATCTCCATTCTTTAAAACAAAAAAGTTTTAAATAGAATTTTGTTGTGTTTTTCATAAATGATAAAATTTAAATGAAAAATGGAGATAATTCTATTCAAAATCTTTTTGTTTTATGGAACGGAGAGGAATAAAGGTTTCTTGTTATTTGTTTGTTATTTTTAATTTGTTTGAAATAAATGTTGTATAAAATCTAAGATTTGTTTTGTAAAAGGCAATTTCTAACTAACTAACTAACTAACACTAACTAACTAACTAACTAACTAACTACTAACTAACTACTAACTAACTAACTAACTAACGAACTAACTAACTAACTAACTAACTAACTAACTAACTAACTAACTAACTAACTACTAACTAACTAACTAACTAACTACTAACTAACTAACTAACTAACTAACAACTAACTAACTAACTAACTAACTAACTAACTAACTAACTAACTAACTAACTAACTAACTAACTAACTAACTAACTAACTAACTAACTAACTAACTAACTACTAACTAACTAACTAACTAACTAACTACTAACTAACTAACTAACTAACTAACTACTAACTAACTAACTAACTAACTACTAACTAACTAACTAACTACTAACTAACTAACTAACTAACTAACTAACTAACTAACTAACTAACTACTAACTAACTAACTAACTAACTAACTAACTAACTAACTAACTAACTAACTAACTAACTAACTAACTAACTAACTAACTAACTAACTAACTACTAACTAACTAACTAACTAACTAACTAACTACTACTAACTAACTAACTAACTAACTAACTAACTACTAACTAACTAACTAACTAACAACTAACTAACTAACTACTAACTAACTAACTACTACTAACTAACTAACTAACTAACTACTAATACTAACTAACTGACTACTAACCTACTACTAACGTACTAACTAACTTACTAACTGACTAACTAACTAACTATTTATAATTTGTTTTAAAATAATTTTTAAGTTTTTCCCTGTTTCTTTATATATTTTTTACAACATTTTATTTTAACCAAAATTTAACTACTCTTAACATTGTAAATCTTTTTTAATAAAAGAGAATTAAATATTATTTATACTAACTTTAGAGTTTTTAAAAATTTTTAACTATAGTAAAGTCCTCTATATTTAATTTTCTGTTCCCTAAGACAAGAATCAGGTGGGACGAATGTAAATCATAATGATAATTTTTTTTACCAAACCGATAACTCTTAAAGAAGAAAATTGGATTCGGATGACCTTATTCCTATTTGGTATAGGCGAAAATAACACAATTGTTTCGTTATCATTACATAATTCCTACAATTCTATAGAACTAATTAATTAAATTTATAATTACAAAAGTTAAAACTTAAAAAAACAAATAAACTTAAAAACCCTAAACATATATTCCTGATAATAAAATATAAAAAATATACAAAGGCAACCCAGGCTTTTTATGTCAATAATAAAATGTCAAAAATTTTCATAAATAAACAAACTGAGAAAAAATAAAAACGTATAATCCCAAAGAAAAAAAATATTTTGAAATAAAAATAAAACTTTAGCGAATAAAATCAATTTAAAAAGAAGATTTAAACAAGCAATCGTAAGAGGCAATAAAATATTACTAATGTGTATAAAATTAATTTGAAATTTGATATAATTTCAGCAAAAAACCAAAATAAAAAGGAATTGAAAGAATTTCAAATATAAATAAGATATTTTCAAATAAAATAACGTAAAATCGAGAATTTAAAACGGAAAGATGTAAGAATGCAATAAAATATTATTAAAATACATATAATTAATTTGCAATATTCTGAAATTTTAGCGAAAACACAAAGTAAAGCTGAAAATGGAAGGAAATAAAATACAAGAAAATTCTAAGGAAGAAGTCGGCAATTTCGAAAATCAAAAAGACAATGTAAGTCCAACTGCAATGAAGTCGCCAAATAAAGCTGCTAATGCTAACATGGTTGTTTTAATGGCGTTGCTATTTGGACGAATAATGTCAAAAACGCTCTGTGTTCTTGAACTATTTCTAGGTTGGTTGCTATTGAAAATTTTGGAACAAAGGAACAACAAAATGGGCCACAATAGGATTTGGAAATTCCTTTTTATTGAGGACGATCAAAATCTTTTAGCTGTTCGCTCCAAGTTATATACAATATCCGTAGTAATGGGGTATAATATGTTCTATGCGGCAATTTATGTCATGTGGATAATGTTACGTATACTATTGTCTACAGCACCGGGAAGATTAGACAACTACATTCGTTTTTAAATATTAAATAATTGTTTATACTTCTTCTGTTCTTGTGTTAAACTGTTTATTTCAAAATTAATGTTGATATTCATCTCCATTCTTTAAAACAAAAAAGTTTTAAATAGAATTTTGTTGTGTTTTTCATAAATGATAAAATTTAAATGAAAAATGGAGATAAATTCTATTCAAAATCTTTTTGTTTTATGGAACGGAGAGGAATAAAGGTTTCTTGTTATTTGTTTGTTATTTTTTAATTTGTTTGAAATAAATGTTGTATAAAATCTAAGATTTGTTTTTGTAAAAGGCAATTTCTAACTAACTAACTAACTACTAACTACTAACTAACTAACTAACTAACTAACTAACTAACTAACTAACTAACTAACTAACTAACTAACTAACTAACTAACTAACTACTAACTACTAACTAACTAACTAACTAACTAACTAACTAACTACTAACTAACTAACTAACTAACTAACTAACTAACTAACTAACTAACTAACTAACTAACTAACTAACTAACTAACTAACTAACTAACTAACTAACTAACTAACTAACTAACTAACTAACTAACTAACTAACTAACTAACTAACTAACTAACTAACTAACTAACTAACTAACTAACTAACTAACTAACTAACTAACTAACTAACTAACTACTAACTAACTAACTAACTAACTAACTAACTAACTAACTAACTAACTAACTAACTAACTAACTAACTAACTAACTAACTAACTACTACTAACTAACTAACTAACTAACTAACTAACTAACTAACTAACTAACTAACTAACTAACTAACTAACTAACTAACTAACTACTAACTAACTAACTAACTAACTAACTAACTACTAACTAACTAACTAACTACTAACTAACTAACTAACTAACTAACTAACTAACTAACTAACTAACTAACTAACTAACTACTAACTAACTAACTAACTAACTAACTAACTAACTAACAAACAAACAACAAACTAACTAACTAACTAACTAACTAACTGACTAACTAACTAACTAACTAACTAACTAACTAACTAACTAACTAACTTACTAACTTACTAACTAACTTACTAACTGACTAACTAACTAACTATTTTATAATTTGTTTTAAATAATTTTTAAGTTTTTTCCCTGTTTCTTTATATATTTTTACACATTTATTTTAACAAAATTTAACTAACTCTTAACATTGTAAATCTTTTTAATAAAAGAGAATTAAATATTATTTATACTAACTTTAGAGTTTTTAAATTTTTAACTATAGTAAAGTCCTCTATAATTTAATTTTTCTGTTCCCTAAGACAAGATCAGGTGGACGAATGTAAATCATAATGATAATTTTTTTACCAACCGATAACTCTTAAAGAAGAAAATTGGATTCGGATGACCTTATTCCTATTTGGTATAGGCGAAAATAACACAATTGTTTCGTTATCATTACATAATTCCTACAATTCTATAGAACTAATTAATTAAATTTATAATTACAAAAGTTAAAACTTAAAAAAAACAAATAAACTTAAAAACCCTAAACATATATTCCTGATAATAAAATATAAAAAATATACAAAGGCAACCCAGGCTTTTAATGTCAATAATAAAATGTCAAAAATTTTCATAAATAAACAAACTGAGAAAAAATAAAAACGTATAATCCCAAAGAAAAAAAATATTTTGAAATAAAAATAAAACTTTAGCGAATAAAATCAATTTAAAAGAAGATTTAAACAAGCAATCGTAAGAGGCAATAAAATATTACTAATGTGTATAAAATTAATTTGAAATTTGATATAATTTCAGCAAAAAAACCAAAATAAAAAGGAATTGAAAGAATTTCAAATATAAATAAGATATTTTCAAATAAAATAACGTAAAATCGAGAATTTAAAACGGAAAGATGTAAGAATGCAATAAAATATTATTAAAATACATATAATTAATTTGCAATATTCTGAAATTTTAGCGAAAACACAAAGTAAAGCTGAAAATGGAAGGAAATAAAATACAAGAAAATTCTAAGGAAGAAGTCGGCAATTTCGAAAATCAAAAAGACAATGTAAGTCCAACTGCAATGAAGTCGCCAAATAAAGCTGCTAATGCTAACATGGTTGTTTTAATGGCGTTGCTATTTGGACGAATAATGTCAAAAACGCTCTGTGTTCTTGAACTATTTCTAGGTTGGTTGCTATTGAAAATTTTGGAACAAAGGAACAACAAAATGGGCCACAATAGGATTTGGAAATTCCTTTTTATTGAGGACGATCAAAATCTTTTAGCTGTTCGCTCCAAGTTATATACAATATCCGTAGTAATGGGGTATAATATGTTCTATGCGGCAATTTATGTCATGTGGATAATGTTACGTATACTATTGTCTACAGCACCGGGAAGATTAGACAACTACATTCGTTTTTAAATATTAAATAATTGTTTATACTTCTTCTGTTCTTGTGTTAAACTGTTTATTTCAAAATTAATGTTGATATTCATCTCCATTCTTTAAAACAAAAAAGTTTTAAATAGAATTTTGTTGTGTTTTTCATAAATGATAAAATTTAAATGAAAAAATGGAGATAAATTCTATTCAAAATCTTTTTGTTTTATGGAACGGAGAGGAATAAAGGTTTCTTGTTATTTGTTTGTTATTTTTTAATTTGTTTGAAATAAATGTTGTATAAAATCTAAGATTTGTTTTTGTAAAAGGCAATTTCTAACTAACTAACTAACTAACTAACTAACTAACTAACTAACTAACTAACTAACTAACTAACTAACTAACTAACTAACTAACTAACTAACTAACTAACTAACTAACTAACTACTACTAACTAACTAACTAACTAACTAACTAACTAACTAACTACTAACTAACTAACTAACTACTACTACTAACTAACTAACTAACTAACTAACTAACTAACTACTAACTACTAACTAACTAACTAAACTAACTAACTACTAACTAACTAACTAACTAACTAACTAACTAACTAACTAACTAACTACTAACTACTAACTAACTAACTAACTAACTAACTAACTAACTAACTAACTAACTAACTAACTAACTAACTAACTAACTACTAACTACTAACTAACTAACTACTAACTAACTAACTAACTAACTAACTAACTAACTAACTAACTAACTAACTAACTAACTAACTAACTAACTAACTAACTAACTAACTACTAACTAACTAACTAACTAACTAACTAACTAACTAACTAACTAACTAACTAACTAACTAACTAACTAACTAACTACTAACTAACTAACTAACTAACTAACTAACTAACTAACTAACTAACTAACTAACTAACTAACTAACTAACTAACTAACTAACTAACTAACTAACTAACTAACTAACTAACTAACTAACTAACTAACTAACTAACTAACTAACTAACTAACTAACTAACTAACTAACTAACTACTAACTAACTAACTACTAACTAACTAACTAACTAACTAACTAACTAACTAACTAACTAACTAACTAACTAACTAACTAACTAACTAACTAACTAACTAACTAACTAACTAACTACTAACTAACTAACTAACTACTAACTAACTAACTAACTAACTAACTAACTAACTACTAACTAACTAACTAACTAACTAACTAACTAACTAACTAACTACTAACTAACTAACTAACTAACTAACTAACTAACTAACTAACTAACTAACTAACTAACTAACTAACTAACTAACTAACTAACTAACTACGGAATCTAGACATCTTATTTACGTTGCCAACAGATTCACAGTAGTTCCTCCATGATATCTGTTTTGCTCTTTTGATCTCTCCCTTATACTTATTGAAACTCACTTTGTAGTTGTTCCAATCTTTTGGAAGTCTAGTAAGCTTTGCCTTATTAAACAACCTTCTAACCGTCGACCTTTGATCACGTAGTTCCCTGGTCCACCACTTAGGTTGCTTATGCCTACCCGGAAATCTCAACGGGCAGGATAGCTCATAGCTCTCCGTTAACACACTGGTAAATTTGTCTACAACCTTATCCAATTCGAGGGACCGCAGAACATTTATATCCATCTGCGAAAATCCTGACCGGACCCTGTTGTAGAATTTTAACCAGTCGGTTTTCCTACGGTCCCTAAAGGGTTCCTGCTTGGATTTACTCAAATTCACTGTGAAGGTAATCCGGCTATGGTCAGAGAACGAATAGTCGGTATGTACTTTCCAATCCCTAATAAGATCCTCATTTTGGTTAGTAAGGGTAATATCAATAACTGTTTCCCTATCTTTATTCCTAAACGTTGGCATATTGCCCCTGTTACAGATAATAAGATTCCATGCAGTAATGAAATTAAACACTAACTCACCTCTTTTATTAATGTCAGCACTGCCCCATTGACTGTGATGTGCGTTTGCATCACAGCCTAGTATCAGGATAGCGCCCTTCCGCTTTGCATACGCCGTCAGCTCCAGCACCTCTACACCAGGCGGCTCTATAGCTTCATACGGCATGTACACTGAGGCCACCGAGAGCAACCGCTCACCCTTGACCTCTCTGTTTATAACGGTTAGATCACCGCTCCTAAAAGAATGAGATATTAGAAAATTAAGTTCATTCTTTGCCAATATACAAGTTCTAACCTTATCCTCAGTGGACGGGACGAACAAAGTATATCCCGTGATCGCTAATCCACAAACCCTATTGTTATTTAGCCATGGTTCTTGGATTAGGGCCACGTCCGTCTTGGAATGGGTGATGAACCTTGCCAACTCCGCTGAAGCTGCCTCACAATGATGCAGGTTTATTTGCACCACCTGCAGCTTCCTTGGATCTGTCATGCTTAGAGTATCTAAACCGTACAGTTCCAAGTCCGAAGTTGACAACTCCCCTCAGCCCATCCAAGATCTCGAGGGATTTGTCGTCTACAGCGAAACGGAAATCCCTCCCTGTATTCTCCTTGCACACCATTGAAGCAACAAACTTCCATTGGTTTGTAAGGAGATTACTGTTCTGCTTGGCCAATACCGCCAGTATGGTGTCCACCGGTCTTATGGGTGGTGGAATCCACACTGTCACTATTGACCTGAGTGGTAATTCAGATGCATAAATCACCTCGAGCTTTGAGTCCGGACTAAGGTCTCCAAGCTTGGCAACCGTGGCCCTTAAAAATTCAAAGGAATTTTTATTGCCACAGTTGACAATCTTGATGCCCCTAGCCCAGTCTGCACCCTGGGCTAGATTCCGTAGAATTTTAGCCAAAGACCCCAAGGCCTTAGGTTACATTCAGCGTGAAGACAACTCGTGGACGGAGTCCAGCTCAGAGACACTCTCTTTACTTATGGAAACTCACTTCCCAGGTTGTGCTGATATAGATGATAGGGACTTAAGTCAGGGGGTCCAAGGACCTGGGGCTTCTAGTTATTCATCTGGTCATATTGATGAAATAGTCACTAGGGACAAATTGGGCTGGGCGGTGAACACTTTTGACCCATATAAATCACCGGGTCCGGATGGTGTTTTTCCGGCCATGCTCTGTAATATTCCTGAAGACGCATTGGCACTTCTAGCTGATATTTTCAAGAGGTGTCTCCTCACGGGATACCTTCCAAGAAGGTGGAGAGAGGTTAGGGTAATCTTTATTCCTAAGGCCGGTAGGGCATGCCACTCGAAACCTAAGGATTTCAGGCCTATCAGCCTATCGTCTTTTATACTGAAGACTTTAGAACGTCTGATAGATCTTTATCTCAGGAGCAATATAGATACCCGTCTTATTAGCAACGCTCAACATGCCTACCTAAAGGGTAAGTCGGTTGAGAGTGCGTTACATGAGGTGGTTGGTTGTATTGAGCACGGTTTAGAGCATAGGGAATATACTCTAGCCGCGTTTTTAGACATAGAGGGCGCCTTTAACAACATTAGAATAGAGGCCATCAGAGAGTCGTTAGTCGTACTCGGAGTTCAGGATTTCCTAGTGAGTTGGATAGTATCGATGCTTGATAGCAGAATTATCAACTCAACCTTAGGGGATGATAGGATTCGCAAACGAGTTACCAGGGGTACACCACAAGGAGGAGTGTTATCTCCCCTACTATGGTTACTGGCGGTCAACTCTATCCTAAGGATCTTTGAATCTAAAGGTAGGAAGATAGTCGCTTATGCGGATGACGTGGTGCTACTGGTCAAAGGTAAATTTCTCCCGACAATCAGTGAGGTCATGCAGTCAGCACTAAGTGATCTATCAACCTGGGCAAACAGGAATGGGTTGGGTGTGAATCCATCTAAGACGGAGCTAGTACTTTTCACTAGGAAATATAAAGTTGAGAGTTTTAGCTTGCCGAGATTAGACGGCGTTGAACTGAAATTATCGGATGGAGCCAAGTATCTAGGGACCTTCCTCGACCAAAAATTGTCTTGGAAGAAGAATATACAGGAACGGCTTAAAAAGGGGCTCAATGCCTATTACACGTGCAGAAACTCTATTGGTAAGAATTGGGGTTTGCGACCAGACATGGTAAATTGGATTTACACGTCGGTAGTAAGGCCCATCATTACCTATGGTTGTACTGTGTGGTGGGTAGGAATGAGGAAATGCAGCTATAGATTAATACTCAGTAAGGCTCAAAGGTGTGCTTCTATCGGCATAACAGGTGCCAGGGGCAGTACAACCGCAAGCAGCATTGGATATTATTCTAAATCTGCTCCCAATTGAGAAATATGTTGAGAGTGTAGCGGCTAGGAACTTATTCAGACTGTTTGAATCAGCTCTAGTAAGACCAAAGCGGGTAGGCCACACTAGAATACTGTACGAGGTAGGTCTAACAGGAATTGAGGGAAGTACGGAGGGTATTTCTGATCATTTGGTTACGACCCTGGACTTCGGAGTAACACCCTCAATAGTGATTCCTAGTAGGGATGAGTGGGAAGGATCCGAAGTACTGTTTGAGGGGTGTGCAGTTTTCACTGACGGATCCAAGATGGACTCTGGCACAGGTGCCGGGGTTTATTTGGTAGACAACAATATAAGAGTGTCCTACAGACTTCCGGACGAATGTAGCGTTTTTCAAGCGGAAATCCTGGCTATATGGAAATCCGTGGATATTATTAAGACACACATTACCAGGGGGTCGGAAGTGACGATTTATGTTGATAGTCAGGCAGCTCTTAAAGCTTTGCAGTGTAAAACGTTACATTCTAGCTTGGTAAACAGCTGCAAAAGAGACCTGGAAGGGTTAGTCAGGTTATACACACTCAGGCTGTGTTGGGTACCGGGACACTGTGACATACAGGGTAATGAGATTGCAGATGAATTGGCCCGACAGGGCTCGGATCTGGAGCTCGATAGAAGGGTCAGTTCGGTAAAACCCCCCATTTGTCATTACTATAGGCTAATTTCCGAATATTTCAGAAAAACCACCAACCAATCCTGGTACAGTAGACTGGATTGTAGGGTTTCTAGGACACTATGGCCGAAGTTAAATCCAAAAGCAACCAGAATGCTATTAGGATTGGACAGGAAGAGTACAAGGATTTTAGTAGGGGTAATAACCGGACACTGCTCAATTGGAGCCTTTAGGGGTAATGGGGTCGGTAACACACAGGATTTTTGCAGGTTGTGTGAGGACGAAGAAGAACTGGAGACAGTAGAGCATATTTTATGCCACTGTCCCAGATTACAGAGTCTGAGACTGAAATGGCTAGGTAAAGGATTCCACGATGAACTAGGAGATGTAGCAGGGTGTAACCTAGGCGACATTATGGGCTTCATTAGGGGAACTTTTTGGATTTTCAGTTAATAGACAATTAAGGATTTCCCTTCCATGACCACTTCTTTTTTCTGTTCTCTTTTTGGAGGGAAAATCTCACTCTTCTCATCTCTCCTTTCTTCTGTTTTCTCCTTGTTCTTTATTAAAGGGATTCACAATGGACCATTGGGTCTCCGAGTGGATGTATACATTGATATACAACCCTTTTAAAAAACTAAACTAAACTAAACTAAACTAAACTACTAACTAACTAACTAACTAACTAACTAACTAACTAACTAACTAACTAACTAACTACTAACTAACTAACTAACCTAACTAACTAACTAACTAACTAACTAACTAACTAACTAACTAACTAACTAACTAACTAACTAACTAACTAACTAACTAACTAACTAACTACTACTAACTAACTAACTAACTAACTAACTAACTAACTAACTAACTAACTAACTAACTAACTAACTAACTACTAACTAACTAACTACTAACTAACTAACTAACTAACTACTAACTAACTAACTAACTAACTAACTAACTAACTAACTAACTAACTAACTAACTAACTAACTAACTAACTAACTACTAACTAACTAACTAACTAACTAACTAACTAACTAACTAACTAACTAACTAACTACTAACTAACTAACTAACTAACTAACTAACTACTAACTAACTAACTAAACTAACTAACTAACTAACTAACTAACTAACTAACTAACTAACTAACTAACTAACTAACTAACTAACTAACTACTAACTAACTAACTAACTAACTAACTAACTACTACTAACTAACTAACTAACTAACTAACTAACTAACTAACTAACTAACTAACTAACTAACTAACTAACTAACTAACTAACTAACTAACTAACTAACTAACTAACTAACTAACTAACTAACTAACTAACTAACTAACTAACTAACTAACTAACTAACTAACTAACTAACTAACTAACTAACTAACTAACTAACTAACTAACTAACTAACTAACTAACTAACTAACTAACTAACTAACTAACTAACTAACTAACTAACTAACTAACTAACTAACTAACTAACTAACTAACTAACTAACTAACTAACTAACTAACTAACTAACTAACTAACTAACTACTAACTAACTAACTACTAACTAACTAACTAACTAACTACTAACTAACTAACTACTAACTAACTACTAACTAACTAACTAACTAACTAACTACTAACTAACTAACTAACTAACTAACTAACTAACTAACTAACTAACTAACTAACTAACTAACTAACTAACTAACTAACTAACTAACTAACTAACTAACTAACTAACTACTAACTAACTAACTAACTAACTAACTAACTACTAACTAACTAACTAACTAACTAACTAACTAACTACTAACTAACTAACTAACTAACTAACTAACTAACTAACTAACTAACTAACTAACTAACTAACTAACTAACTAACTAACTAACTAACTAACTAACTAACTAACTAACTAACTAACTACTACTAACTAACTAACTAACTAACTAACTAACTAACTAACTAATAACTACTAACTAACTAACTAACTAACTAACTAACTAACTAACTAACTACTACTAACTAACTACTACACTAACTAACTAACTAACTAACTAACTAACTAACTAACTACTAACTAACTACTACTAACTAACTAACTAAACTAACTAACTAACTACTAACTAACTAACTAACTAACTAACTAACTAATAACTAACTAACTACTATACTAACTAACTAACTAACTAACTAACTAACTAACTAACTACTAACTAACTAACTAACTAACTAACTAACTACTAACTAATAACTAACTAACTAACTAACTAACTAACTAACTAACTAACTAACTACTAACTAACTACTAACTAACTAACTAACTAACTAACTAACTAACTAACTAACTAACTAACTAACTAACTAACTACTACTAACTAACTAACTAACTACTAACTAACTAACTAACTAACTAACTAACTAACTAACTAACTACTAACTAACTAACTAACTACTAACTAACTAACTAACTAACTAACTAACTAACAACTAACTAACTAACTAACTAACTACTAACTAACTACTAACTAACTAACTAACTAACTAACTAACTAACTAACTAACTAACTAACTAACAAACAAACAAACAAACAAACAACTAACTAACTAACTAACTAACTGACTAACTAACTAACTAACTAACTTACTAACTAACTTACTAACTGACTAACTAACTACTAACTAACTATTTATAATTTGTTTTAAATAATTTTTAAGTTTTTTCCCTGTTCTTCTTTATATATTTTTTACACATTTTATTTTAACAAAATTTAACTAACTCTTAACATTGTAAATCTTTTTTAATAAAAGAGAATTAAATATTATTTATACTAACTTTAGAGTTTTTAAATTTTAACTATAGTAAAGTCCTCTATAATTTAATTTTTCTGTTCCCTAAGACAAGATCAGGTGGACGAATGTAAATCATAATGATAATTTTTTTACCAACCGATAACTCTTAAAGAAGAAAATTGGATTCGGATGACCTTATTCCTATTTGGTATAGGCGAAAATAACACAATTGTTTCGTTATCATTACATAATTCCTACAATTCTATAGAACTAATTAATTAAATTTATAATTACAAAAGTTAAAACTTAAAAAAACAAATAAACTTAAAAACCCTAAACATATATTCCTGATAATAAAATATAAAAAATATACAAAGGCAACCCAGGCTTTTTATATCAATAATAAAATGTCAAAAATTTTCATAAATAAACAAACTGAGAAAAAAATAAAAACGTATAATCCCAAAGAAAAAAAATATTTTGAAATAAAAATAAAACTTTAGCGAATAAAATCAATTTAAAAGAAGATTTAAACAAGCAATCGTAAGAGGCAATAAAATATTACTAATGTGTATAAAATTAATTTGAAATTTGATATAATTTCAGCAAAAAACCAAAATAAAAAGGAATTGAAAGAATTTCAAATATAAATAAGATATTTTCAAATAAAATAACGTAAAATCGAGAATTTAAAAACGGAAAGATGTAAGAGTGCAATAAAATATTATTAAAATACATATAATTAATTTGCAATATTCTGAAATTTTAGCGAAAACACAAAGTAAAGCTGAAAATGGAAGGAAATAAAATACAAGAAAATTCTAAGGAAGAAGTCGGCAATTTCGAAAATCAAAAAGACAATGTAAGTCCAACTGCAATGAAGTCGCCAAATAAAGCTGCTAATGCTAACATGGTTGTTTTAAATGGCGTTGCTATTTGGACGAATAATGTCAAAAACGCTCTGTGTTCTTGAACTATTTCTAGGTTGGTTGCTATTGAAAATTTTGGAACAAAGGAACAACAAAATGGGCCACAATAGGATTTGGAAATTCCTTTTTATTGAGGACGATCAAAATCTTTTAGCTATTCGCTCCAAGTTATATGCAATATCCGTAGTAATGGGGTATAATATGTTCTATGCGGCAATTTATGTCATGTGGATAATGTTACGTATACTATTGTCTACAGCACCGGGAAGATTAGACAACTACATTCGTTTTTAAATATTAAATAATTGTTTATACTTCTTCTGTTCTTGTGTTAAACTGTTTATTTCAAAATTAATGTTGATATTCATCTCCATTCTTTAAAACAAAAAAGTTTTAAATAGAATTTTGTTGTGTTTTTCATAAATGATAAAATTTAAATGAAAAATGGAGATAAATTCTATTCAAAATCTTTTTGTTTTATGGAACGGAGAGGAATAAAGGTTTCTTGTTATTTGTTTGTTATTTTTTAATTTGTTTGAAATAAATGTTGTATAAAATCTAAGATTTGTTTTTGTAAAAGGCAATTTCTAACTAACTAACTAACTAACTAACTAACTAACTAACTAACTAACTAACTAACTACTAACTAACTAACTAACTAACTAACTAACTAACTAACTAACTAACTAACTAACTAACTACTAACTAACTAACTACTAACTAACTAACTAACTAACTAACTAACTAACTAACTAACTACTACTAACTAACTAACTAACTAACTAACTAACTACTAACTAACTAACTAACTAACTAACTAACTAACTAACTAACTAACTAACTAACTACTAACTAACTAACTAACTAACTAACTAACTAACTAACTAACTAACTACTAACTAACTAACTAACTAACTAACTAACTAACTAACTAACTACTACTAACTAACTAACTAACTAACTAACTAACTAACTAACTAACTAACTAACTAACTAACTAACTAACTAACTAACTACTACTAACTAACTAACTAACTAACTAACTACTAACTAACTAACTAACTAACTAACTAACTAACTAACTAACTAACTAACTAACTAACTAACTAACTACTACTAACTACTAACTAACTACTAACTAACTAACTAACTAACTAACTAACTAACTACTAACTAACTAACTAACTAACTAACTAACTAACTAACTAACTAACTAACTAACTAACTAACTAACTAACTAACTAACTAACTAACTAACTAACTAACTACTAACTAACTAACTAACTAACTAACTAACTACTAACTAACTAACTAACTAACTAACTAACTAACTAACTAACTAACTAACTAACTACTAACTACTAACTAACTAACTAACTAACTACTACTAACTAACTAACTAACTAACTAACTAACTAACTACTAACTAACTAACTAACTACTAACTAACTAACTAACTAACTAACTAACAACTAACTAACTAACTAACTAACTAACTAACTAACTGACTGACTAACTAACTAACTAACTAACTACTTACTAACTAACTTACTAACTGACTAACTAACTAACTATTTTATAATTTGTTTTAAATAATTTTTAAGTTTTTTCCCTGTTTCTTTATATATTTTTTACACATTTTATTTTAACAAAATTTAACTAACTCTTAACATTGTAAATCTTTTTTAATAAAAGAGAATTAAATATTATTTATACTAACTTTAGAGTTTTTAAATTTTTAACTATAGTAAAGTCCTCTATAATTTAATTTTTCTGTTCCCTAAGACAAGATCAGGTGGACGAATGTAAATCATAATGATAATTTTTTTACCAACCGATAACTCTTAAAGAAGAAAATTGGATTCGGATGACCTTATTCCTATTTGGTATAGGCGAAAATAACACAATTGTTTCGTTATCATTACATAATTCCTACAATTCTATAGAACTAATTAATTAAATTTATAATTACAAAAGTTAAAACTTAAAAAAAACAAATAAACTTAAAAACCATAAACATATATTCCTGATAATAAAATATAAAAAATATACAAAGGCAACCCAGGCTTTTATGTCAATAATAAAATGTCAAAAATTTTCATAAATAAACAAACTGAGAAAAAATAAAAACGTATAATCCCAAAGAAAAAAATATTTTGAAATAAAAATAAAACTTTAGCGAATAAAATCAATTTAAAAGGAAGATTTAAACAAGCAATCGTAAGAGGCAATAAAATATTACTAATGTGTATAAAATTAATTTGAAATTTGATATAATTTCAGCAAAAAACCAAAATAAAAAGGAATTGAAAGAATTTCAAATATAAATAAGATATTTTCAAATAAAATAACGTAAAATCGAGAATTTAAACGGAAAGATGTAAGAATGCAATAAAATATTATTAAAATACATATAATTAATTTGCAATATTCTGAAATTTTAGCGAAAACACAAAGTAAAGCTGAAAATGGAAGGAAATAAAATACAAGAAAATTCTAAGGAAGAAGTCGGCAATTTCGAAAATCAAAAAGACAATGTAAGTCCAACTGCAATGAAGTCGCCAAATAAAGCTGCTAATGCTAACATGGTTGTTTTAATGGCGTTGCTATTTGGACGAATAATGTCAAAAACGCTCTGTGTTCTTGAACTATTTCTAGGTTGGTTGCTATTGAAAATTTTGGAACAAAGGAACAACAAAATGGGCCACAATAGGATTTGGAAATTCCTTTTTATTGAGGACGATCAAAATCTTTTAGCTGTTCGCTCCAAGTTATATACAATATCCGTAGTAATGGGGTATAATATGTTCTATGCGGCAATTTATGTCATGTGGATAATGTTACGTATAATATTGTCTACAGCACCGGGAAGATTAGACAACTACATTCGTTTTTAAATATTACATAATTGTTTATACTTCTTCTGTTCTTGTGTTAAACTGTTTATTTCAAAATTAATGTTGATATTCATCTCCATTCTTTAAAACAAAAAAGTTTTAAATAGAATTTTGTTGTGTTTTTCATAAATGATAAAATTTAAATGAAAAATGGAGATAAATTCTATTCAAAATCTTTTTGTTTATGGAACGGAGAGGAATAAAGGTTTCTTGTTATTTGTTTGTTATTTTTTAATTTGTTTGAAATAAATGTTGTATAAATCTAAGATTTGTTTTTGTAAAAGGGCAATTTCTAACTAACTAACTACTACTAACTAACTAACTAACTAACTAACTAACTAACTAACTAACTACTAACTAACTAACTAACTAACTAACTACTAACTAACTAACTACTAACTAACTAACTAACTAACTAACTAACTAACTAACTACTAACTAACTAACTAACTAACTAACTAACTAACTAACTAACTAACTAACTAACTACTAACTAACTAACTACTAACTAACTAACTACTAACTAACTAACTAACTAACTAACTAACTAACTAACTAACTAACTAACTAACTAACTAACTAACTAACTACTAACTAACTAACTAACTAACTAACTAACTAACTAACTAACTAACTAACTAACTAACTAACTAACTAACTAACTAACTAACTAACTAACTAACTAACTAACTAACTAACTAACACTACTAACTAACTAACTAACTAACTAACTAACAACTAACTAACTAACTAACTAACTAACTAACAACTAACTAACTAACTAACTACCTAACAACTACAACTACTAACTAACTAACTAACTAACTAATAACTACCTAACTAACTAACTAACTAACTAACTAACTAACTAACTAACTAACTAACTAACTAACTAACTAACTAACTAACTAACTAACTAACTAACTAACTAACTAACTAACTAACTAACTAACTAAAACTAACTAACTACTAACTAACTAACTAACTAACTAACTAACTAAACTAACTAACTAACTAACTAACTAACTAACTAACTAACTAACTAACTAACTAACTAACTAACTAACTAACTAACTACTAACTAACTACAACTAACTAACTAACTAACTAACTAACTAACAAACTAACTAACTAACTAACTAACTAACTAACTAACTAACTAACTAACTAACTAACTAACTAACTAACTAACTAACTAACTAACTAACTAACTAACTAACTAACTAACTAACTAACTACTAACTAACTAACTAACAACTAACTAACTAACAAACAAACGAACTAACTAACTAACTAACAACTAACTAACTAACTGACTAACTAACTAACTAACTAACTAACTAACTTACTAACTAACTTACTAACTGACTAACTAACTAACTATTTTATAATTTGTTTTAAATAATTTTTAAGTTTTTTCCCTGTTTCTTTATATATTTTTTACACATTTTATTTTAACAAAATTTAACTAACTCTTAACATTGTAAATCTTTTTTAATAAAAAGAGAATTAAATATTATTTATACTAACTTTAGAGTTTTTAAATTTTTAACTATAGTAAAGTCCTCTATAATTTAATTTTTCTGTTCCCTACGACAAGATCAGGTGGACGAATGTAAATCATAATGATAATTTTTTACCAACCGATAACTCTTAAAGAAGAAAATTGGATTCGGATGACCTTATTCCTATTTGGTATAGGCGAAAATAACACAATTGTTTCGTTATCATTACATAATTCCTACAATTCTATAGAACTAATTAATTAAATTTATAATTACAAAAGTTAAAACTTAAAAAAACAAATAAACTTAAAAACCCTAAACATATATTCCTGATAATAAAATATAAAAAATATACAAAGGCAACCCAGGCTTTTTATGTCAATAATAAAATGTCAAAAATTTTCATAAATAAACAAACTGAGAAAAAAATAAAAACGTATAATCCCAAAGAAAAAAAATATTTTGAAATAAAAATAAAACTTTAGCGAATAAAATCAATTTAAAAGAAGATTTAAACAAGCAATCGTAAGAGGCAATAAAATATTACTAATGTGTATAAATTAATTTGAAATTTGATATAATTTCAGCAAAAAACCAAACTAAAAAGGAATTGAAAGAATTTCAAATATAAATAAGATATTTTCAAATAAAAATAACGTAAAATCGAGAATTTAAACGGAAAGATGTAAGAATGCAATAAAATATTATTAAAATACATATAATTAATTTGCAATATTCTGAAATTTTAGCGAAAACACAAAGTAAAGCTGAAAATGGAAGGAAATAAAATACAAGAAAATTCTAAGGAAGAAGTCGGCAATTTCGAAAATCAAAAAGACAATGTAAGTCCAACTGCAATGAAGTCGCCAAATAAAGCTGCTAATGCTAACATGGTTGTTTTAATGGCGTTGCTATTTGGACGAATAATGTCAAAAACGCTCTGTGTTCTTGAACTATTTCTAGGTTGGTTGCTATTGAAAATTTTGGAACAAAGGAACAACAAAATGGGCCACAATAGGATTTGGAAATTCCTTTTTATTGAGGACGATCAAAATCTTTTAGCTGTTCGCTCCAAGTTATATGCAATATCCGTAGTAATGGGGTATAATATGTCTATGCGGCAATTTATGTCATGTGGATAATGTTACGTATACTATTGTCTACAGCACCGGGAAGATTAGACAACTACATTCGTTTTTAAATATTAAATAATTGTTTATACTTCTTCTTCTTGTGTTAAACTGTTTATTTCAAAATTAATGTTGATATTCATTCACAAACAAAAAAGTTAAAGAGAAGGGGGGGGGTGGCAGAAAGGAGAAAAGGAAAGGAAAAAGGGAGAGAAAGGCGAGGCAAAAGCGGGGGAGGGAACGGAGAGGAAGAAAGGGGGCGGGGAGGGGGGGGGAGGGGGGAAGGGGGGGAAAGAAAGGGGGAGAAATCGAAGAGGGGGGGGGGAAAAGGCAAGGGCGAACGAACGAACGAACGAACGAACGAACGAACGAAACGAACGAACGAACGAACGAACGACGAACGAACGAACGAACGAACGAACGAACAACGAAACGAACGAACGAACGAACGAACGAACGAACGAACGAACGAAACGAACGAACGAACGAACGAACGAACTAACGAACGAACGAACGAACGAACGAACGAAACGAACGAACGAACGAACGAACGAACGAAGAACGAACGAACGAACGAACGAACAACGAACAACGAACGAACGAAGAACGAAACGAACGAACGAACGAACGAACGAACAACGAACGAACGAAAGACGAACGAACGAACGAAGACGAACGAACGAACGAACGAACGAACGAACGAACGAACGAACGAACGAAACGAACGAACGAACGAACGAAAACGAACGAACGAACGAACGAACGAACGAACGAAACGAACGAAACGAACGAACGAACGAAACGAAAACGAACGAACGAAAACGAACAACGAACGAACGAAACGAACGAAAGAACGAACGAACGAACGAACGAACGAACGAACGAACGAACGAACGAAACGAACGAACGAACGAACGAACGAACGAAGAACGAACGAACGAACGAACGAAACGAACGAACGAACGAACGAACGAACTAACGAACGAACGAACGAACAACGAACGAACGAACGAACGAACGAACAAACGAACGAACGAACGAACAACGAACGAACGAAAACGAACGAACGAACGAAAAACGAAAACGAACTAACGAACGAACGAAACTAACAAACGAACGAACGAACGAACGAACTAACGAACTAACTAACGAACGAACGAACTAACGAAACGAACGAACGAACGAAACAACTAACTAAAAAACTAACTAACTAACTAACTAACTAACTAACTAACTAACTAACTAACTAACGAACTAACTAACTAAACGAACTAACTAACTAACTAACTAACTAACTAACGAACTAACTAACTAACTAACTAACTAACTAACTAACTAACTAACTAACAAACTAACAACTAACTAACTAACTAACTAAACTAACTAACTAACTAACTAAACTAACTGACTATAACTAAACTAACTAACTAACTAACTTACTAACTAATTACTAACTGACTAACTAACTAACTATTTTATAATTTGTTTTAAATAATTTTTAAGTTTTTCCCTGTTTCTTTATATTTTTACACATTTTATTTTAACAAAATTAACTAACTCTTAACATTGTAAATCTTTTTTAATAAAAGAGAATTAAATATTATTTATACTAACTTTAGAGTTTTTAAATTTTTAAACTATAGTAAAGTCCTCTATAATTTAATTTTTCTGTTCCCTAAGACAAGATCAGGTGGACGAATGTAAATCATAATGATAATTTTTTTACAACCGATAACTCTAAAGACGAAAATTGGATTCGGATGACCTTATTCCTACTTTGGTATAGGCGAAAATAACACAATTGTTTCGTTTATATACATATTCCTACAATTCTATAGAACTAATTAATTAAATTTATAATTACAAAAGTAAAATTAAAAAACAAATAAATCTTAAAAACCCTAAACATATATTCATGATAATAAAATATAAAAATATACAAAGGCAAACCCAGGCTTTTAATGTCAATATAAATATGTCAAAAATTTTCATAAATAAACAAACTGAGAAAAAATAAAAACGTATAATCCCAAAGAAAAAAAATATTTTGAAATAAAAATAAAACTTTAGCGAATAAAATCAATTTAAAAGAAGATTTAACAAGCAATCGTAAGAGGCAATAAAATATTTACTAATGTGTATTAAAATTAATTTGAAATTTGATATAATTTCAGCAAAAAACCAAAATAAAAAGGAATTGAAAGAATTTCAAATATAAATAAGATATTTTCAAATAAAATAACGTAAAATCGAGAATTTAAACGGAAAGATGTAAGAATGCAATAAATATTATTAAAATACATATAATAATTTGCAATATTCTGAAATTTTAGCGCGAAAACACAAAGTAAAGCTGAAAATGGAAGGAAATAAAATACAAGAAAATTCTAAGGAAGAAGTCGGCAATTTCGAAAATCAAAAGACAATGTAAGTCCAACTGCAATGAAGTCGCCAAATAAAGCTGCTAATGCCTAACATGGTTGTTTTAATGGCGTTGCTATTTGGACGAATAATGTCAAAAACGCTCTGTGTTCTTGAACTATTTCTAGGTTGGTTGCTATTGAAAATTTTGGAACAAAGGAACAACAAAATGGGCCACAATAGGATTTGGAAATTCCTTTTTATTGAGGACGATCAAAATCTTTTAGCTGTTCGCTCCAAGTTATATACAATATCCGTAGTAATGGGGTATAATATGTTCTATGCGGCAATTTATGTCATGTGGATAATGTTACGTATATATCTACAGCACCGGGAAGATTAGACAACTACATTCGTTTTAAATATTAAATTGTTTATACTTCTTCTGTTCTTGTGTTAAACTGTTTATTTCAAAATTAATGTTGATATTCATCTCCATTCTTTAAAACAAAAAAGTTTTAAATAGAATTTTGTTGTGTTTTCATAAAGGATAAAATAAAGGAAAAAGGGAGGAGAAAGGGAGGCAAAAGCGGTGGGGGGAGGGAACGGAGAGGAAGAAAGGGGGGAGGTTGGGGGGGGGAAGGGGGGGAAAGAAAGGGGGAGAAAAGCGAAGAGGGGGGGGAAAAGGCAAGGGCGAACGAACGAACGAACGAACGAACGACGAACGAACGAACGAACAACGAAAGAACGAACGAACGAACGAACGAACGAACGAAACGAAACAACGAACGAACGAACGAACAACGAACAACGAACGAACGAACGAACGAACGAAAACGAAACGAACGAACGAACGACGAACGAACGAACAAACGAACGAACGAACGAAAGAACGAACGAACGAACGAACGAACGAAACGAACGAACGAACGAAACGAACGAACGAACGAACGAACGAACGAACGAAGAACGAACGAAACGAACGAACGAACGAACGAACGAAACGAAGAACAACGAACGAAACGAACGAAGAACGAACGAACGAACGAACGAAACGAACGAACGAACGAACGACGAACGAACGAACGAAGACGAAACGAAACGAACAAAAACGAACGAACAACGAACTAACAACGAACGAAACGAAACGAACGAACGAACGAACGAACGAACGAACGACGAACGAACGAAAGAACGAACGAACGAACGAACGAACGAACGAACGAACGAACGAACGAACGAAACGAACGAACGAACGAACGAACGAACGAACGAACGAACGACGAACGAAACGAAACGAACGAACGAACGAACACGAACGAACGAACAACGAAACGAACGAACGAACGAACGAACGAACGAACGAAGAACGAAAAAACGAACGAAAACGAACGAACGAACGAACGAACGAAAACGAACGAACGAACGAACGAACGAACTAACGAAACGAACGAACTAACGAACTAACGAACGAAACGAACGAACGAACGAACGAACGAAAACGAACGAACGAACGAACGAACGAAAACGAACGAACAACGAACGAACAACGAAACAACGAACGAAACGAACAACGAACGAACGAACGAACGAACTAACGAAACGAAAGAACGAACGAACGAACGAAAGACGAACGAACGAACGAAACGAACGAACTAAGAAAACGAACGAACTAACGAACGAACGAACGAACGAACGAACTAAACGAACGAACGAACAACAACTAACTAACAACTAACAACGAACGAACGAACGAACTAAAACTAACTAACGAACGAACTAACTAACTAACGAACGAACTAACTAACTAACGAACGAACTAACTAACTAACTAACTAACTAAACTAACTAACTAACGAACTAACTAACTAACTAACGAAACTAACTAACTAACGAACTAAACTAACTAAAACTAACTAAACTAACTAACTAACTAACTAACTAACTAACTAACAAAAACAAACAAACAACAAACAAACTAACGAACTAACTAACTACTAACTAATAACTAACTAACTAACTAAACTAACTTACTAACTTACTAACTAACTACTAACTGACTAACTAACTAACTATTTATAATTTGTTTTAAATAATTTTTAAGTTTTTTCCCTGTTTCTTTATATATTTTTACACATTTTATTTTAACAAATTTAACTCTAACTCTTAACATTGTAAATCT